CACAAAACATGTTCGTATGTATATACATATGGTAAACATGCATGAAGCCTGAATCTTAAAGACCGCATCCCAAACATATGCTTCAGCAACTTTAGCAGCTTGTTTGTCTAGTCCTGTTTCTTGAAAAGCACTCTTCGACCTCCGCTCTTGAAAAACACTTACCAATTAAGTTATAAGCTCATCCCATTTCTCCAGTGTTATTTAAAAAGTTGGATTGTCGCTAAATATGATATACGTAATTGATATCTGTCTATATTTTGAAATCATCGACTTCCGAAGTAATGATGAAGCTGGGAAATGCTAAACTTATATCTCTGGAACATAACATCAAAATAACATATTGAATGTTATCCATCATATCATAATAAAAAAGAATCAAAATGAATAGTCTTGAGAAGGAATTTTAGTTCTACACGAGCTTATATATACTCACTTCAAATAGGGTAGTGTCATGTTTTTTATGAGGGACGGATATTTTAAAACGAATTGCTTCCATTCTTCGGGATCAATTTTTTCATCACCATTTGTATCAGCCTCGATGAATGTCTGTGGAGAAAAGATAAAACAAGGGTTCTTGAGTATGAATTGTAATAAGTATGGAGTGATATGCTCGATAAGACAGATTAGATAGATAGATAAGATAGATATACTTTATTGACAATTGCTTCAATTATATCGTTTGAAAGGACCAATTCCGATTCGTGTAGCAGTGCCGACACCATTTCCTTCAACTGATACACAGAGATAAGAATTAGCAAATCAATTCGTGGAAGGTAGAGACATTAAAATGGGTCTCAAACATTCTATCTCATCATGATATAAATTCCATCTTGTTCGAGAATTCTTTGAGTGTACCATAAGAAAAAGGAATAGTAAAAACTCGAGTCTCACCTCCTCTAGTTCGATGAAGCCAGTTCCTCTTAGATCATACAATCTGAAAGCAACTGCACAAGAATTTTCCAGAAGTCAGTTATAACCATACATTCTAATCAGAAAATTATACAGAGGCCACGTAAATGTGTTATATTATCCAGAAAAACTAATCTTACATGCAATTTTATCCGTGACAGATGCATTTGGATGAAAGACACCTAATGATCGAACAAATTCACCAAACTCAATAACCCCATTTCGTTTGACATCAAACACATCGAAAAGCTACAAAGAAAACACATCAGAAAAAGGCCTAGTTCAGAAACATGAAAATCAGAAATGCAGCATACATGTTTCCTAGTTCCTACCCAAACAAAAACAGCAAATTACAGTCTACTTTCACTGTATCTATACGAATATATACCGGGCAATGCTAGAAGGATGAGAAATTGGGATTACACACCCTATCTGCAAACAGATTCTTCCTATTTCTGTTCTTGAAAAGTGCAAATTGGAATTCTTCCTGATTACAAGAGTAAAACAAGATTGGTTATCAATCAAAGATATCAACTGGTCTGATCAAACAGAAAATTAAAAAAAATACCTTGTGAATTAGTCCATCGTCGATTATGGAACTGCTTAACTTCTTGTAGAGCACATATAAGGCCTCTACTTCACTAATAGTAACTGTAAGTTAGACCAATAAAAGGAATCAAGAGGAGTTATTATGTCTTCACAGTAGGTATAATTCAGATTATATTTGACCAGGTTATTTCTTGGTTAATATAAAGTTATAACCTTTCTATCGTTTTGAAAATTTTGAGTGACAGAAAATGAAATTGAAACAAACTGAAAGTGGACAATGGCTGCTTACAAGGTGTTTCTGCAGCAAGAACAGTAGGCTCCTCATACCCAGGCGTGTATTTAGTAGTCTTTGAGCTAATGCAACCCATTAAATAACAAGATTATTCAAGTCACGAAATTCTTCGCTGATTGACGAGTTTGTGCTTTTGGTGAAACTGGAAAATCTTTCACTTGTCAAAATTGCAAAGAGTTGCAGCACAAATATAACCAAATCAAGAAGTAGCTGACCTAAGAATCAGCTAGATGTTGAAAAACTCCACAGATGAAGAACTGCCAATAAGAACCGATAACACTAGGTAAAAGACAAGAATTACATAATGATTTGGAGGAAAAAGATTGATTTGGTGAAGTCATGCACTTGAATTTAATTAAACTATTCTTTATTACTTTAAACTCTCAAGACTATTAATTATTTACTATGGTATTAGAATAAAAATTTAATGTTCAAATTTTTACTTTTCAATTTCTCTTGAAAAGCCTTCAGCCTTAGTAGATTTATGCATGAGAGAACATGTCAATGGACAAACATACACACACTTCAATGCAATGCAATTGAGGCCAAAAAAATGCAGAAGAAGATAAGTCGAACCAAGCTCAACCATGCCTCTGAGATTACATTTGATCTCATTCAGCATGGTTGAAACAGCCAAATTGTTTTTGGCCTCTTTCTAGGCACTGAAATTTGGGGAGATAACTTCAAGATAGAATTCAGCCAACTCATTCATAAACCTACACTACCCAAGTGTCGAAAATAGCATCTAATTTTACCGGGAAACAAACAGAATTTACATATTTAACAAAGGGTAATGTATAAATTAGGGGCTTCTTATCAGGCCATCAAGATCAACAAGTGGAACTTTGTTAATCAATGTTTAGCAGCAAAGAGACAAAGAAGACTCAATAAAATTTTCAGAAATTTCCAGAATGAGAAGATTTTATCAAATAATTAAGACCCTAATGCCAACAAAAGATTTGATAAGTAGATTTGACCTTTCTTGATAAATACCTTAAAAAATATTGGTATTAGTCAAGGGATTCAAGTTGTCTCTCAAGAATTTTATCAAATAAGAAGTATGATTACTTCACGGCTCTTTTAAAAAATCAAACAATCCCCAGAAGAAAATGAAATTAGATTTAATTAAACTTGAGTCACATCATAGAATCAGTTTATGTGTTTTCCCAAATCTGCAAGACTCCTCTGTAAATCAGAAAGTTTACAGGCTTAATTGCTTAGGTTAAACTTAAACATCAACTTAATTACCTACTAACAACTTTTTCACCAGAAAAAATCACAGACCAACAACTGTTTTTTGCAGCAGAAGGAAAAAAAAAAACAATCGTATTTGGTTTCTGAGACCTCAAGAGAAATACAAATTGAAAAGGCATCAATCAATATAGTATAATAAAAGATTTTGGGGAAAGAAAAAATGGTATTTGCTTTTCTACTCTTATTGGGACCGCAGAGTTTAAAAAGTTCTAGGAGAGACAAGTTGAAATAAAACAAACAAACACTACCATTGAAAAGCTTCACTTTCTTCTATTTCTTTCTTTTTTTCTTTCTAGTTTTCTTAGATACCAAACAGGCGGTGAATAGAAACAAAAAAGTGACAAGTTTTCAACTATTTCCAGCAACTTTACTTCGAGAAACCAGCTAGATTGGCAATGAACTTCCTCACACTCGCATTTCCAATGCTTTCACTTAGAAGCCATATGATAAAACGAAAAATATGAAAAACCCCTGCTTTCTTTGGTTTCCAGGAAAATGCAAGAAGAACACAAAATTGAATCTCCTTTTTTCCTTCGCTTTAACTTTGATAATCTCATGAAAAGCTGAACTTTTTTCTCAAGCAAAACTAAAATCACCAATGCAACCCATTAAAAAGAAACCAAAAGAAAACCGAACCCATATGGTAAAATGAAAAACCCTTGCTTGGTTTGGTTGCCGGGAAAATGCAGGGAAAAAAAACAAAATTGGTCCTTTTTTGTCTAACATTTATGATCTCACAAAAAGCTGAATCTTTTCCCAGCCAAAACTAAAATCACCAATGCAACCCTTTGAAAGAAAACCAAAAGAAATAATCCGGAGGTTCAATTCAATAACAACATAAACCCCGTCGAAACAAGAAGAAAAAGAAAAAGCACCAGGAAGTTTTTTCTTGCAAGAAAGAAAGGACAAACGGCTAATGAATCTATTGACATTATTAACAACTATGTTTAATGAAGAGAAAAAGAGAGAGACAAGTAAACATTACAGAGATGAGGAAAGCTTCAGAGCTTGTGCTTTAATGGAGGTTCTACTCTGCTCTGTTTATCTCCCCGATAAAACAAGAAAGGAGCTTTCTTTATTATATATCTTCTGTATAGTTTTCAACGTTCATTTATGGCCAAATGCGGTGCATTTATATAATAATCACAGAAAGAAAAATGATGGGCGTGACCCTGATGGCTCCCGAACTCCTGGCCGAATCCATCTTATTTTCTATTCAAAAATTTATTAATTATAATTTTATACTCAAAAAATTATATAAAAAATATGTGCTAAATTGACGTATAAACATAAAGTTTTGAACTTTTTTTGGTTTTTTACTCAAAGATTATATTTTTATAAAAAAAAATTAATAATATCATTTTTCAAAAGTATGAATTCTAATTAAAATGTAAAAAAAATATAGTTTTTTTAGTACTGTCAGATAAAGGGCATGCAAAGATACATGCGTGTGTATGTATAATATACATGTGTTTATATATATGTAACTATCCCATATTTGGGTTGTTTTTATTGGGCAAGCATATGTACATGGTTGTATATACATATGTATATATAGGTAACTATCCAATATTTGGGTTGCTTTTATTTTTGCTGTAATAGTATTAGTCCAACCAAATCCAAACCCCTAAAAGGTATAAACAGAGACCCGTAAGTAATATAATACAGCTGACCTAACCAAGTGATGCTGCTGTGCCATCTGGCATTTTGTGTAATATCTAGAATTAATTTTAAAATATTTTAAATCAATATATATAATATAATTTATAAATTTATAAATTTTTTATTTAATATAAAAAAATTAAAAAAAAAATAGGTGAAGAATGAAATTGAAAATAATTTTGAAAACAATAGATGAAAATTTGGGTTCTGGATATATTTTTGAAAGAAAAATCATAAACTGAATGTCAAAACGTAATTTAAAAAAAATGTATCACGTAGGACTGTTCAGTCAGCAGTTCCGACAAACCGGAGCGTGCAGCGTGGCAAGGCATGCTGACGCGGTACCATGCGGGAGGCCACGCTGGCAATTCGCGTGCATGTGATCGGACAGTCCGAATTTGTTCTCGTGCGTGTGGACGATCTGAATCCATTTCCTCATCAGACGCGATCGGACGGTCACAATTAAATGCGATCGTAGAGTCCACATCAAATCGCGATGAATGCTTCAGATTTACTTCCTATTTAAACGTGATCGGATGGTCCATATCAAATGCGATGGACGACTTAGATTAAAATGAGACATATATAAATACCTCACTTCACACCAAACCCTAACCCTAATCGTCAGCCCCCGGTCAAAGAAGAAGAACCAGTCGCTGGGAAGATAGCCGACCGCCGCCCGCCGCCACCCCAGAGCCACCTACGATCGCCAAAAAGGTAAAAAATCCTCACAGTCGCTCGAAATTTGATTTTGAACACCCCCATGCCTAAATTAGAGCAAAAAGACCGGCGACATCGCTGTGGAAAAAATCGAAAACCGCCACCGATGAGGCCCTTCTCGATTCTCATTTCGTGCAATTTTTTCACCATTGTATTCGCCATTTTGTTTCCCACAGATTGACCAAAGAAAAATGTCTAACCATAAAGGTGAGCCAGCGGAGCCGCCGCATCAAAAAATTCAGCGGCCGGTAAGCTTCTGTTTTCTGATTTTTTTTTCAGCCAATCGAGGTCCCTTAACGTGTTTTCTCGCAGAAATGAGTACAAAACCAGCCAAAATCGGACGAAACTAGCCGAAAATGGCCAGTTCGAGGCGCTGCTACCGTGCCGAAATCCTAAAATTGGACGGAAAGGGTTTCTAACATCGATTTTTGATTTTTTGGGGTATTGAGGGATGATATTTTTAGCGTTCATATCGGACGGGGTATGGGGATGATCGATTAATTGAAAATATTGAATAAGGGTTCATATGTAGTGGGGACATCCCTATGGACTCCAATAGATATCGGTAGGCAGATAAAAAAGAAAAATTGTTGTTATGGTTAATTAAATATGAGATTATGATGTTATTTGTGTTATTAACTCTATAAGTCAATTTTAAAAATTTTGTTACGATAAATATACAATGAATTATTTTACTTATGATAAATGAATTTACTCAAAATAAGAGCTCCATTAATTGTTTTCATGATTTTTATTAATCTTCATTTCTGTATCGATGAGTAGTATGATATTCTTACTGAGTTAG